CTCTCCGACCCACCCCCCCTTTACTCAGGGCAAAGGTACCAACAACGTGGGCTGGCTCTCCTGGCACCTGGACAACAAGACGTGCTTGACTCAAACCCTCACTCCCGCCTTGGGGGAGAGTCCCATGTCCCGCCAGGGTTTCTGGGACGCTTCCAGGGGAACTGGCTCCCTGGCTGCTCACCTCTGCCTCACGGTACCTGACGCCACGGAATCCCTGGGCTCTGGCCTGTGCTGCTCTCGGACATTCTTTCATGTCCGCCCCACTGACCACCCAACGTGGCGCTTGGCCTCTCCCCTCGACTTTCATGTGCGGAAACACCAACCCGGCTGTGCAAGGCGCTCGGTTTTACTGGATGTCTGGGTAGCGGGAGGAGGAGGGTTTAGTCCGCAGTACAGGTGACTCGGGGGGGAGAGGTGAAGGGCCCAGGGTGTTCTCTGAGTGGGTAGGTCATCAGAGAAGGTGTTTATGGTGTGATCGTTGTCTTGGGTCAGCTGCACCTCCAGGGGCCCCTGTCTCCAGCTCCTAGAGGGTGAAGGGGTGGTGGGTTGGTGGGCCTGGCAGACGGGCGCGATGCTGCCAGATGAAGATGGAGGGCTGGCCTGTGCCGTGTGGTCGGTTCCCTGGGCCCAGGTGCGGCGCTGTCAGGAAGTGCCTCTGATGGGGCAGCTTCATGGGCGCCCAGAGCCCGGAGGAGCGAGCAGTTGTCCCCCTTCTCCAGGCTGCTCGGTCTCTCTGCTCCCCCTCCAGGCCCCCGAGGAGGAGGAGGAGGGGGAGGCGCTGGGCGCTGATGGATATGCCGGGCTGGGCGGCTGCGCCCGGCACTGTCACCATGCTCTCCCTCAGTACGCCGGAGCCTGACACCCTGACCACTGAGGCATAAAAAACAGAGAATTGGAAGGCTCAGCCTGTCAGGCTGGGAGTGGCCCCCAGAGAGGCCTGGGAGGAGTGCACGTGGTGTGTGCGTGTGTGTGTGTGTGTGTGTGTGTGTGTGTGTGTGTGCGCGCATGCCTGTGGTTGCCTGTGGAAGTGGGGAGGTGGAGAGGAAGCCGGCTGGGCTCGGGTGGGAGCAGCGGGCCCCCCAGGCCTGCTTTATTGTTCTGGCCGCACCTGACCAAGTCCCGCGGGCCCTGCATTTGGGCCTCGGCTGCCAGGGGCAGAGCAGTGCTTCCGCTCTGACATCTGGCTGGTCTCTGCTGAGGGCTCCTGCCCTTTGGCTCGTTGGCACCCTTAAGAAGAATCCGTGGGAGCTTGTTTGGGCTGAGGGTAGTCCCGTGGGCAGTGTAACTCCTGTCACCACTGCCAGGGAAGGGCCCACGTGCTCTGTAACCAGTGGCATAAAAGGCCACTCAGCAGCCAGCTTCTGACACTACGTGGGTCAGGCACTGGGGGACTCTGCAATGACTAAGGCCCAAACCTGCTCCCCTTCCACAGCAGCAGGCAGACAGGCAGCATGGTTGTAAGGGAAGGAGTTTTGAACTCCCCTCCTCATGACGCCTGGCGGTAAGGAGGCTCTCCTGGGGCTGCAGACACAAGATCACCGCTCTGTGGGCAGCTGGGCGAGAGGAGTGCACATCCTCAAGCCCCAGCTGCCTCCTCACACTCCCCATGGTGTCCACCTGCCTAAGCATGCCCCGAGCAGCAAACAGCTACCCCGACCCCATGCCCAGAGGCCCACCCACTAGACTCGGGCTTGTCTCTGCATCTCAGCAAAGTGCCCTCGGCCTCCTCCTGGCGGAGGGCTGGACTTCACGTCTCGTCTTCCCCGTTGGCTGAGGCCGGGGTGCAGCCACCTCTGCATTCTCAGCTCGCAAGGCCAGACGAGAGTTGAGGTTACCTTTGCCTTCGCAGTGCAGAGCCACGCGGGAAACACGTGGGAAGTGGAACTAAATCCACACGGGGGTCCTGGAGTGCCTGAGAACCAGGCTTAGGACTTGGTGGGTGTGCTGAGGCCATTTTGTGAGAGAACCTAGGCATCAGTCTCCTCACCTGCAACGTGGGCCAGTCACCTCAGGGAACACCTGGCACGGGCAGTTTCACGGCTCACATGTGAGAGGCTGGCGTTCCCTTCCACTAATAAATAGAAACGGGGGAAATCTCGATGATGCCAAGGACCGCTGTCCACTTAAAAAGGGTGTGCACTGGACTGGACTCGGCTGGTTATGAAAGTACCTGCAATGTATGTCAGAGGCAGATGCCGTTGGCGTTTTCCGAGCTTGCTTTGACGTTTGCTTCCTGTTTCTCTCCCACCCATCTCATGCAGGGAGTGAGTTTTCCGGGAGCCCCTACAGCCACCCTCAGTACCCCTCCTACAACGACTCCTGGAGGTTCCCCAACCCGGGGCTGCTCGGTGAGTACGGCGGAGGTCACACAGCAAGCAGATGGCAGGTTGCGGACCCAAGCTCAGTCACCCTGACCCATAGTCATACCCCGTGTGAGACGTGGTCCTCTCCCTGACCCATTCAGTCTGAACAGGACCACAGCCAGGGCGAGAGGCCTCATCGCTCCACAGGGAGGAGCCTGGAGAACCCTAAACACTCAGACTCTGTCTGTGATGAGGACAGCTCTGGCCTGTTTTTTGAAAACCAGGTTATTGTCAGGCTTTCGGTTGCAAACAACAGAAGCCACTTCAGCTGGTTTAAGCAGAAAACAAATCTGCTAAGGGATTTGGGGGGCTCCCGGAACCCATGGGAGGACCCATGACACAGGCCTGGGACGCACAGCCAGGGAAAACACCCACCCACACCGCCAGGGCTGCTCTAGCATCAGCACTCCTGCTGCTGCCAGTTGGCACCCCAAGCTGCCCGCTCTGCGCTGCTGCTCAGCCAGGGTGCCTGAGAGCTCTGTCCTGCCAATTGCCGGGAGCCCCGAGCCTCTGCCACCCACTCCCAGCTTGGAGTCTCTCAGCCCGTTTCCTCCAGTTGCTCCTGCCCAACCCAGGTCACAGGCGAGAGAGCCTGTCTGACAGGTGACACACCTGTGCGCTAGCAGCAAGGGTGGCTGGGAGGGTGAGTTCTGACTTCCACCCCAAAGAGGCAGGCCTCATGCTACGGGCAAAACAGAAACAGTTTAAACCGTGCCGGGCAGTTAGAAACATGAGAAATGGTCCCTGTGCTGCCCAAGTCTGTAACCTGGGACATCATGGCCAGGTCCCCAAGCCATCGGGGCCTCGGTGTGAAATGAGGGTAGTCACACCAGCAGCTTTCTTCAAAAATGAGCTAAAAACCAAGGCTCACTGTCCTGAAGATGAGCGGGCTGCCAGGCTCACGCTACCGTAGTCTGGCACAGAAGCCCCAGGCCCATCACACCCGCCAGCCTGGCTTTCCCACGGGGTCTCCAGGCTCATCTGGAAGAGTCCCACGGGGCAGGGGCAGTAGCCCGATGTCTGCCGTCTGGGGAAGGTGCAGGGTGTGGGACCCTGCTCTGAGGCTCCGGCTAGATCAGTAGAAGCGGTGGAAACAGGTGAGACCCTCCACGTACACACTCCGGTGCTCACGCCCTCAGCCCCTGCCACCCTCTGCTGGCCGGGTGGAAGCCTCCTCCACAGAATCACCTGCAGAGTGAAGATGAGCAGTGCCACCCAGTGAAGCTGTACTTCTCAGGAGAACTCCCCTCCCCCTGGGCTTCCCCCCAGGAGCTGCCCGCCCAGCATCATGCCCCCCCTGCCCCCCCCCCCACAGCGAGCGGACTAGGACTAGGTGGGGGTGGGGGGAGGCGAAGGGGGAGGCGAAGGGGGAGGCGGGTAGACGGGGCAGGAGGTGGGAAGCCAGGCAGCAGTGGTCGATTAGGATTAGAATGGGAGTGCCTGTGGCCGCTTTGAAGGGATTAGAGCGTGAGTGGGAGCCGGGAATGACTGTGTCAGGAAGTAAATTGATGATAATGTGAATTAGAGAGGAAAAATGACAAGAGAAAGGACAAGTTTATTCTAGATGACGGTCTAATGGGCACCAGGAAGACAAGAGTGCTTTGTGAGGTGATGTTTTCATCTTTCACGGTAAAGGCAAGCGACTGTGATCTTGCCGTGGCACCCTCAAGCTGAGGCCACTGGCCAGCGCAGCCAAGAGGTTAGGCTTTGAGAGGGGAGCGAGTCAGAGCCGAGGGCGAGAGGTGGCAGGTGGGTGGGGGGCTCAGAGGGCTGAGCCAGGGTCCTCTGTGCAGGCTTACTTCCATTTCTTGTCCCCCGAGGCCCGTTGGTGGGGGCAGCCCCTGCGGCTTTCCTGCTCCTGGGCCATGCCCAGACCTGCAGGGACAGCACGCATGTCCTAACAGCCCCCAGCCCACAGAGGAGGGAAGATGAGAGAGCAGGGGAGGCTGACAGCTGTCTCTGAGTGAGGGCTCTGACCAGGGAGGTGAGGGAGGAAGCAGCATTCTCCATCTCCGGGAATACACAGACACAGGGTTGGCGGCCTTGCCTTCGTCCGGAACAGCTCAGCAAGGCGCTGCCGCTCCGCCCCTGTCACTGCTGCCTTCCTGGGGCCCAGTGAGGGGGTAGGGTATCTGCTCATCCAGGCTGGGCTTGGAGGTGCGGTGGCACGTGCTAACGTGCCACGAGCTGTATGGCCTTGGGCAAGCTGCTTACTCTCTGCCCCTCAGTTTCCTCCTCTGCTGCATGAACAATACCAGTTCCTGCCTCGACTCGTTGTGGAAAGTAAAGAGTTCATGCATATAAAGGGCTTAGAAAAGCACTTGTATATCCTTATGTCATGGTGCCCTCAGGCAGCACTGTTATGAACCCGTTTTACAGATGAGGCAACGGAGGCTCAGAGGAGTGAAGCCACTTGTTCAGGTCGCTCAGCCAAGAGTGGCGGAGCCTGGCTGGCAATCCCAAGGCAGTGGTGCTGTCATGCTGTCGGGGAGAATTGCCAGGATTGGTTTGGGTTTGGGTGAGATTTCAGAATCCATACCTGTCACCTCCCCTGGGGAACGAAGAAGCTTACCGTTCCCACCCCACCAGACACGTGGCCCAGGGCGGCTCACAGGGCCCCCGCTGCCGTCCACCTGGACAAACACAGCCTCCAGCGCAGGGGGAACAGGCCGTGAACTGCGTTGTGGGGCAGCAGTCCTGAGCCAGGGGCAGACACCTGAGTTCCAGGCCGGGCTCTGGCACTGAGAGGCTCTGTGGCTTTGGGCACATGACTTAGGTTTGTTGAGCCTCAGTTTCCCTACCTGTAGAAGGAGGAGATGGCCTAACATCTCTAACCTCAGTGGTCCTAAGACTCTGCTGGTCTCCCAGAGCCCCTGGTGCTCTTTCATCCCGGGGAAGGAGTTTGAACACAAAGCGGGGCTCCTGGAGGCCGCAACCAAAGCATGTAGTCAAATAAAGCTGCCCAGGGAGGTGGGAAGAGCCCTGTCTGCGGGTCCCAGGAGGCAGGCCGCTACCCGCTCTGCTCCACGTACTCACACACCCCGTCTCCCCACGTCCAAGTCTTCTCGTGCCGTCCCCCGAGCCCAGCCTGACCCGCTTCCCCCGGGGAGCCCGGCGCTGCCAGAATAACCCTGCGTTCCCAGAGTTCTTTGCTCAGAGCTCCGAGCCCCTTCCTTCCTGTGAGCATTTGCCTTAGGTACGGGGCTGCAGGCACAACGGCGCCCTCCAACCCCCATGCGTCTTCTCTCTCTTCCAGGCTCCCCCTACTATTACAGCGCCGCTGCCCGAGGAGCTGCCCCACCGGCAGCCGCCACTGCCTACGACCGTCACTGACCCTCGGAGCCAGGCAGACGCCAGCACTTATGACACATATCACTGAGGGTGAGAGCCTCCCAGCCCCTTCCAAGACAGCCGGAGGGGCCCGACGAGAGCGTCCCCCAGCACCCTCCCCCCTCACTTGGAACTCTGCCCCCCCTTTTCCTGTCAGGGACTCTGGGGTTCTATGGTACGGCTGCTGGACTTCTGGACACCTGTCCATTTCTAAGAGTCAATCGATGAGCTTCTCCCAGCGGTGATGGGGTCTCCACAAACCAACAGACTGTGCCGCCGGTCACTGCAGCCCCAGCCCCGCCTGCCAGTCCCCCGGCTGTCTGACCGTCTGCCCGTCTTCAGGCCCAGGCCTGGGAAGAAGAGCTTGCTTTGGTCATTTCAACAGCACCTGTGTAAATACCTTCTTGCTTCTCTCGTGGGCCCAAAGGTCCAACGGAGCAGACTGCCAGCCTTTATGCATTCAGCACCCCCAGCGCATCACAGACCTGAGGGCAGAGCATCCCCTCTGCCCCGGTGCCCCCGCAGTAGGGAGCTGTCCATGGGACTGAGGATGCCCAACTCCGGCCCCGGCCTCCTGCTCGTTGCTACTTCTTTAGCGTCTTGACTAGGTGTCTCACTAACCTGGTTGTGCTCCAAGCTCCCCCCCTCCCCCCCTCCCCGCTGAGACTTTTCCCCAAGACAAACATTTGGGGAGATACCCTGGCTTCCTGCCTCCACTTCCCTGGGCCCAATGCAGTGCAAACAGCTCTTTTCTGTATATCAAATGACTCAAAGAACCGCCAACCACTGTTCTAAAGTAAGATGTCCCAGGTGCTGATTGCAGTGTGGACTTGGAACATTACGGCTGGATGGGACCCAGGAGATCATGGTCCAAGGCGGGACCTGACGTCCTCCTGACCCGCCAGCCCCTGGAACCGCTGACCTGAACTGGGATGTGCTTTCGGAGGCATTCCCAGGCTCGATCACTTTGGACACCCACCACGGACACTGCCCTCACCCTCCAGGACCCCGTGAGTGGATTCTGTTCTGCTGTGTAGACAGTGGTTAACAAGAAGGACTTTGCCTGCACTGAGGACCACACGCACCTGCAGCATCTCCAGAACTTCCTGAGCAGCTCTCTGATCCTGGTGGAGCCTTGCATGCCGCTGGGAATGGAGGTGCCAGGTGGGGCAGATGCCCAACTTCAAGCAGTGGGTGTCTGCCTGTTGACATGAGGGGCCATCATGGTCAGAGCCATGGCCAAGGGCTACAGGAGCTTGGAGAGGGACTTGTAGAACTCACTGTGGGCTGGAGTGGTGAGTAAAAGCCAGTTGGGAGGGTTTGGGGAGACAGAGGAAGGCCTCCTGAGAGAGGGACAGGACAGGCAGTGAGGAACTGGTGGGTGAATTGGAAATGGTTTTGAGGTGGGGTTGCCAGGAACCGCCATATCTTTGCCTAGGGCCTCAATTCCTTGCATAGTCTCTCTTGCCAACTCAGAACAGCCAGGTGGAAGTTCTGTCCAAATCTGGGCTGAATTATAGCAATGACAGTGGACTTTGCCATTACATGACACAGGGTCCCCGATATCTGCATGACACCAGGTTGGCAGAGAGCTGGGGCAGAGAGAGCCCGCACTTGAGGTGATTGGCCCTGGGAGGTCTTGTCCTGGCCGTACCTCTGCCTAGCTGTGGGACCTCTGACAAGACCCTTCACCTCTCTGAGCCTCGGTTGCCTTGGGACTGCAGGGTCATCTGACAGCTCTCTCCTAACTTCTTCTCTCACAGGAAGTTGGGACAGGCCCTCCACTGCTGAGAAAGCAGACAGAGGTGGGCACCTACCGAGTCCCACTAATATTCAGACCACGTGGGAAATAAGAACACCCAGAGGGGTGGAAATCAATCTTGAGGAAGACCTAGTCCAAATCCCCTCAAGGGAAACTGAGGCCCAACTGGGGGAAGCCCGGGGCGTGCAGGGAGAGAGAGAGCAGACCTCCTTGGGCCACTACCAGGCGTTTTGGCCCCCCAATATCCCTGCAAGGTGGTGGGACAGATAAACTGAGGCTCAGCAAAGTGCAGTCCCCAGGCAGTGACTTGGCCCCTGAACCCTGGCACAGGGTGATCCTCCCATCCCTGGGGAGGGCATTAGATGGCTCTCAGCCCACTGCCCTACATGGAGTGTCCCAGGGCTGTTAGAACTGCTGGGGAAGCTAGTCTCCCAGGATGGAGGTGGAGCCCATGAGCTCACTGCAGGCACACCCTCTCCCCTGGAATCTGCTGGTTGAAACAGTTGCAGCCTCCACCTGCCAGGCAAGGTAGAAGAAAGTATATCAGGAAGTGGTGGGGCCAGGAGTCTGCTGCACGGACCTCTTGGACTCTTGCACCTTTAGATCCTGGTCTCTCCTGTGGTCTCAGGCTGTTGGTAGGAGGTCAGCCTTCCCAGAACTGGCTGCCTAAGGCACAACCATCCTTCCTCCGCAAAGCCCACCTGGCCCCACCAGCACCCCTCTGCCCATCCAGTTCTTCTCAGCCCTATGGTGCGCTCCCTCCACGCCTTTCCTCTCTCCCCTGAGGCTCTGCTGGTCCTCAGCTGCATTGTACTTACTAGGCAGCCGCTTGATGATGGGGCTGCCGGGCAGAAGCACAAGAGCGCACGATGCACACATGTTCTTACACTCATCGCTGCTCTCCCCCGCTGAGTTCCCCCGGCTCTGCGGGGCTGCCCGGGAGCTGGGAGAGGAGGGTTCCAAAGGACACAGTCACTGGCGCCAGAGAATTCTGAATGGAAAACACAAGGCCAGCGCTTTCACCAGAGCTTGGTGGCAAGAGGCCTGCGCGCTCCTCTGTGGGCCTTCAGCTCCACGGTCTAGCTCTGGCGTTCTGAAAAGGACATGGTAGATTTTATGAACTTTTTTTTTTTTTACCTTGGCTTAACTTCACCCTACAAAAATTTGATGACATATCAAACCCAACATCCCTTTCCCAAGGCGCCTTAGTGAGGGTTGGCCATTTCATAACTGATGTTCCCATGGTGCTTTGCTGTCTTTGACCAGCCACTGGGACAATCACCGTGCTCATTTTACAGATGGGAAGTTTGAGATTTGGGCCTCGCAGGGCAAGAGAGAGGTGAAGTGAATTCTTAGGTATCCCTGGGCCTCATTCTCTCTCAAAAGAATGGTGCTCCTGTCGTGGGAGAGTGTGGCTTAGAGACACCCTTCCACCCCCCGATGAGGGAAGAAGGAACAGGAAGCCAGGGTCTGTCCTGATGGAGAAGCTTGGGTGTGGGTGGTGTGATGGTCCAACTAGATTCCCATTAACACCGAAACCAACCCAAAAGTCTGCCCAGATTCACACCAACCCCCTGATTCATCCAGACTCCTTTCCAGCTATACCCTAAGGCTTCCAGGGGTTGGATTAGAGCTTGTCCCAGGCCACGCCCTGAGGCCTGACAGGGCCTGGGGTTCCAGTGTCATGAGATGTCCCTTCAGTCTTCTTTATTCTTACGAGGCCTGACAGGGCCTGGACATGGGCCCAGCTCTGACTCCCAGGGCCTAGGGCTCCAGTATCATGAGATGTCCCTTCAGTCTTCTTTATTCTTTCTGCTGGGGCTCAGACTCCAGGCCTGGCTGTGACAATATTCAGGAGTCACCAAGCAGAGTCATTGGGGCCCTCCGGTGCCCACAGGCCTGGGAAACACAGATCACAATCTTAAGGGCCCTGAACTAATTGCTTCCCAGGCCAGGCAGGCGGGGTAACCTTGCAACTCCAGAAGGGCACGGGGCGGCATGGATGGTGGGACGTGGGACCAAAAGAAAATAGGCCGATGAGCCCCCGGCCACCAGCTTGTGACCCCTGCCCAATCTTGGTCCAATGCTCCCTTTCTTCTCCACCTCCTTTCCCTTCGTTGTAAATTTGGGGGAGAAGGGAGCCCAGATTGATGAACTTTGCATTGCCTAGCCCCTGGTCCCTGCCCCCCTTCCTCCCCATCCCGGGCTCTTGCAGACAGTTTGGCTTTGACAGTAGTGAACTTGAACGTCGGAGGCGGTGCGGTGGGGGCACTGTTGGCTTTGAGGGTAGATCAGTGCTGCTGGGCCTTTCACATGTGCAGGGAAACGCCCCAGCTGTGACCACAGGCCACTGAGGGGTGAAATCCCTTTATGAGAAGCCACTTCCCAGAGCAACTGCCCTGCCTTTGGCAGCCCCTGGCAGGAGCCACCCCTTCTGGATGACATTTCAGCTAAAATGTAGCTCCTAGCCATGGGGAGCAAATCTTAAAAACAAACTAAGCACTCCTGACAAATACAGTGGAACCTCAGTTCTCGAACTTAATTCATTGCAGAAGGCTGTTTGAGAAGCGATTTGTTCAAAAACCGAATCATTTTTCCCCATTAGAAGCAATGTAAATGGAATTAACCCGTTCCAGACCCCCAAATGACTCTCTGTTTTAACCTGTTTGTTTACATTTTAAATGATGTTTCAGAGGTGTTCGGGGTTGAGAACTGAAGTTTTGTTCAACAACCGAGACATTTTTTCCATGAACAACTTGGTCGAGAAACGAATTGTTTAAGATGGGAGAGATTTGAGAACAGAAGTCTGACTGTACCTGGAAACAAGATATGTCTGAGACACAGCTGCCCCGAGGGTAGAATCCAGGCCCCTGAACAGGCCAGGCCCAGGCTGGAGTGGGTAGGTCCCACCACACTCTGAGCTGGACCTGCTCCTGGGGGCCTGCTAAGGGGCTGGCTCTGCAGGCTTGGGCTTGTCACCCCCCGCTGGCCTGACGGAGCCTGCCTCTGATGGCTTCCAGGCCTGCACACCAGTGCTCCTGGAGAAGTTATTCCCTTCGTTCTTTTGGCCTCAGAGATGATGTCCAAGGCCAATGCTTCTCTTGAAAGGTAACAAAATACATGATTGGGAAGCTGATCAGTCAGGCCATGACTCCTGGGTGGCCGTCTGTCCACCTCCCGGCAGCCCCTTCAGCCCCTTGTCCCCTAGGTCCCCTTATGTCCCCGTACCTCAGGATTCCCTCTTGCATATTCATGGTGGAGCCACAGTGTTGATCTGCACTTCCCCGCTGTCAGCTCAGGTCTCCAGAGCGATGCCCAGGTGCCAGGGGGCGCGGCAGGGGATTGGAAGCAAGGCCCTTGCCCTCCTGCTCCCCTGACGAGGGGGCTAAGCTTCTCTGACGTGGCTGCTTGCTGGGAGCAGGCAGGCACCAGTCTTCCTTTCATCGCTATAATTTCTCAGTATTGGGGTTCAGTTTCTAGACCCCCAGAATCAAAGGGGACCTCAGGGTTCTGGAGTTTCAGTCCAGGCGTTCCCAAAGGTCCTGTGTGGTCCATCTCAAGATGGGGGTAAATATCACCACCATTCCGTGAGTCTAGGTATTCTTCTCTCATCTTAGACCCCTGAGGGGCTCAAGGAGAAGATGTGGCTGTTTACTGGTATCTATTTACCGAGGGAATCTCGACCAATTCTGAAATGGAGTGGTGTCAGGGAGTGTGCTTAGCCCGTGGGCAGGAGAGAGAGGGCAGGAATCTGCCCTTCCGATTGGGGCAGCTCTGAGCAAGGCCCAGGGAGGGGAGCATGGGGAACAGTGGGGGAGTGTTGTGCCCCTTCCTGACTCTCAGGCCTGGCTGGGGGAGGCCAAGCCACAGCCTCACACCCCAATCCTGGGCCCACTCCATCCGCAACTGTGGACCCTGGGTCCCCCATAACCCCCAAATCACGACGCTTGTTCTCACGTCCCTCATTTTCTCCAAAGGCACCTTTAAGAACGGGTAATTTGGATGATGGATTTTTGATTTACACATGGTGCATTTCCCTTGGAGTGAAACAGAAAGGAAACCATTTAATGGCTCCCTTATTTTCAAGCATGAATACATTTTAATGAAATTATTTTATTGTATTCGAGGAAATGGAGAGTTGAACATTCCAACCAATCAATAGCCAATTAATTGCTATAAAACTAACAAGAAAATATATAAATCCTGAATCTATTTGAAACTCCCTGCAAAGCTCTGAGCCTCTAAATCTGGCCTTCCCCTCCATATGTGCGCATGAGCGTGTGCACACAGGAGCACGCACCCCCCCCCCACACACACACACACATCACAGCTGTATTTGAAACTCAGAGAAAGCGCTGAGTCTCCTCATGCCAGTTCTTGCCTGCTGTCCTCGCCGTTGGTTAGAGAAGGCGAGCAGACCTGGCAGCAGCCCGTCCTGGGGCTCAGGAAGAGGCAGGCCCATCCCCTGACCCCAAGCTGCCAGCACAGTGTGGGGTCTCGGGTACTGAGGGCCCCACTTCTTGGCCCCAGCGGCTGGGCCTCCTCCATGTTCGGGCTGAGGGTGAAAATCTGACTCTCACTGGAAGATGCTACCCTGGTTTTTCACTCTCTAGTGGCCTTTGGACATTGAGTCTTTGTAGAAATGATGACTCTGTGGCAAATGGAACTCTTTGCCCAGAAGACACATGGATTTTGCTTTTCATTCTTTGACAGTTGACTGTCTTAGGGACTGACCCTCCAGCATCAAAGAAATACGTATCCACCAAAGTTTGTGATGCCTGCATAGATGCTTACTTGTAAAAAAAAAAAAAAAAATCACAATAAAAACCAACAAAAAAAAAACAAACCCACAATTGAATTGCCTTTGGAAGTGGGAGATGCTCTGTCTCCAACAGGTTGAAAAAAAAAAAAAAAAGCTTAAAAATGTGTATGTTTTGTATTCTTTTTTTCTAGTAGAAAATAACTGACCGGAAACATTGGTGTGTTTCTTTCTTAGTGACGTGTGTTGCTTTTGTGTGTAATAATATTTGAATGTAATGACAGCAGTGCCAATTTGCCAAAGATGTTGGACATATTTTTCTTTTGCTGGGAGGAGGGCAGGGGCTTGGGGTGGGATTTGGGAGACAGCAGGGGTGGGATTTTGTTTTAATTTTTTAACTTTTTTTTTTTTCTGGTCAAACCTGGAGTTTGTGGTTTTATGTTAAGTTAAATGGTTGACTGCAAGACTTTCATTTTCGATTAGTTGGAAAAATTTGCAATAAGATTGGCGTAGTTTTTAATATCTGTGTGTCTTTTCATGAGTGACTGTTACTTGTGAAGAATTGATTTTATGTAACCTTTATGTGAGATAATTATTTGTA